TCTCAAAGTATTTGATTGTATCCAGGAAACTTCTTAGCTTTGGTTTATTCCAGTTGTGCTCACTTCCCCTGTAGTGTGTGCTGTCCTTCCCTTTGTCTAAGATGATTCTTATCTACTCTCTAGTTAGTAAATAACCCTCACCCTCCCTCCCCACCCTGGTAACCATCAAAGAATGTTTTCTTGTGTGTTTAAACCTCTTCTTGAGTTCTTACAATAGTGGTCTTAATACAGTATTTGTCCTTCTGTGACTGACTAAATCCACTCAAGCATAATAAGTTCCAGCTTCCTCCATGTTATACGATGTTTCACGGCTTCATCATTCTTTATCATTGCGTAGTATTCCATTGTGTGGATATACCATAAAAAACCAATATCATTTCTGTCATATTTGACCTCTGCAGCATATGCTTGTCACTTTTCTCCTGGAAAGTCCTGCCTTGGCACTGATGATTTACAGATTTTAATATGCCAATCCTTAACTCCATATGTACACAGACTGTATGAGCACATTATTGTTTATGTCACAAGTCCTTCAAACTTAGAGTATCCAAAGTTAACCCATCCAAACCATCTCCAGATTTTCTCTTCTTCCAGATCTCCTCCACTTCAGTGGATGGCATTAATCATCCTCCAAGTTGTCCAAACCAACAGCCAACAACCTTCTCTTTCCCTGTCTTCTGTATTACTTACCAAGTCTTACAGGTCTGCCTCCTTGATATTGCTCAGATCTATATTTTCTCTCCATCCCCTTTGCCACTGTCTTAAGTCCTTATCGTTTTCTCACCTAGATTTTGCAACATCCCTCCAATGGATCTCCCAGCTTCCAGGCATATCCTGCACCAATCTGTCATCCACCCTGCAGCCAGAGCTATTTTTCTGAAATAAGAATCTGATCCCATCACTTCCCTCTTAATCTTTTTTCATTAGCTCCTCATAGCCTCAAGATAAGAACCAGTGGTCTTAGCATGTCATACAAAATTCTAGCCCATTTCTCCAATTTCATCACTTAACACCTTCCTTATTGTTTATTTATAAATATATCTATCAGTCAATTCATCTGTCCGCCCATCCACCAAGTATTAAGTACCTATTATGTTCCAGGCTCTATACTATGGGCTGGGCTTACAGTAGTGAGCATACAGTGTTGAGCAAATCAGACATGATTCCTGACTTCATGGAGCATTCAGTCTAGTGAGAATATGGAAAACAGTCATAAAAGTATATAGTTTTAAAGTGTAGTAAAGTGCTAGGAAGGAAAATATACAGGCGATTACAACAGAAGTGTTTAATTTAGACTTGCAGTGGAGTGATAGAAGATTTTTTTTGGAGGAATAAAACCACCCAAGCCAAAACCTAACATTTTGGTAAAATTTAACCGTTCAAATGGGGAACAGGGTAGGAAGGGAAAGATTTGAGCTCTCTGGTTTGAGAGTCCCTGAAGAAAAAATTAGCTCGCTTTGTTTGAAGAACTAGAATAAGATAGTTCTTACAGCTGGCAGAAAATGGCAAGCCAGTGACTCTAACAAAGCCAGAGTTGTTTTGCTCCCCGTTCAGGAGGCCAGCTCGACTGAGATCCTTCTCCCCCTACATGCAGGGCAGTTACCTAGCTTGGTATCGTCAAGGTTAATGCACCCGGAGCTTAAAAGCCTTATTGGTAAAACAAACAAAAAAATTTCTTAGGTAAGGTGAAGAGGATATTTCTAAGGGG